CGGGCAGCGTGGGGCGCCACAGGGTTTGCCGGCTGCCTGGGGTCTGTCTCTGGCGCTGACACGAGTGGGCGGTGGAAAAGCAGGGTCCTGGTGCCCTTCTCGTGGACTGGGACCCAAGTCCTGTCTGGCCCTGCGCTCTGCCGCCCTTTCTCTTCCACAGGAGCCGGTGTGTTCAGCTCTGAACTGCTCTGTGCTTCATAGTAATAAAAGTAATAGTAGGTCAGAGGTTCATGCTGATGAAGGTAATAATCCAGAAAAATAATTTTTGAACAGTGTCTGAATTTAAAAAAAATAAAAGGCACTTACAGGGGAAGATTACCTAGTGCTGTGGGTGAGACTCAAGGCTGTTTACAAAGCTTACACAGCTCTTTTTTTTTTAAATTATTATTTGTTTGTTTGTTTCCTTGATTTCATGTTGCCTGTTCTTTAGGCCGTGGTCATCTCGCCACTTGTGTTTTTTGTAACATGTTTTTTTTTCCCCCTTGTTCATGACCTTTTCTATGGCAGAGGAGGGAAAACCCATTGGCTCTAGGTAACCCTAATAATGATGTTCCAAAAGGATAGCAAGGAGTTGCCATATAGTACAATATTGGAGTTTTGCTCCAGGGTTAGACTTCGGGTTGGTGACCGTCTTTAGACAGGGAAAGAAATCTGAATACAAGTGCATGAGTCTTCTTGAATGCTTTTTCTTGATCTTGACGAATTTTTTGTTAACTTCCAGTAGCTGAGCAGTTAATTGGCAATAGAAAGATAATGTGCTATAGTAATTTCACATCTGTTTCCAACCTCTTGCGTGTATGTGCCATCAATGACATATTTTAAAACAACATTGTGTTATAATGATGCTTTTTTTTCTCTCTAAAGGTAGTGAAACAGAAAATATCAAGATGAGTAAAAAGCCTCCAAATCGTCCTGGAATCACATTTGAGATTGGTGCTCGTTTGGAGGCACTGGACTATTTACAAAAATGGTATGGAAGACAGTGTGCAATATTTGCTAAGAGCAAAATTATGTTATTGTTGTAAATTGTGTTATCTGATTATAGAACTGAGTAATTGCGTTTCACATATGAACTTTGTGAGAGTCCAAATGCTAAATCTATTAAAATGATTAAATTTTAGGAAAATATTCTCTCTTCAGATATCAAAGAAGGCATTTTTTTGTGTTTTTTTTTTTGTTATATTCATTGATTTTAATTTCTTGTGCAGTCATATTAAGCAGAAAGCACTTTCAGAGTAGTGTGGAATGCAGTGTCATGTGCAAGATGATCAAATGTGTTGATGTGGCAAATGTCGGTGACCAAAGGCTACTTTTATTTTAGTCTGAAGGTATGCAAGTGCATTTAAATTATATTCAGTAATCAGACTTTACACAAACCAATTTTTTTTTAAAAAAAAACATGCTTAATCAGAGTTTATTAACTAGGTAAGTATGATTGTATTTGTATTGTACAGTTGGAGGAATGAGGAGCCTAAAATTGTGACTCTGCTTCAGCCAGGCATATCATGAGTAAGAGTCAAGATTACAGGCTGCAAATCTGTGGGCACGACGGCCACGCTACACAGCACGTATGTTTGAAAGGAGTTGTTCTTTTTGAAAGACAAATTCTTAGTTGAAAGTTAGTTACCACAAATGAGTTAGTTTCATTAAGTGTGCTGGCCCTGTTATTTCAGTTTGAAAAAACACTAACTTTTTAAAAAGTGGATGACACAGGTAGTTGATGCTTCTCTCCAGGCGTTTTTTCTTAGCTGCTACCAATGATTGTTTAGGAATAGGAAATGTGAAGGCTTTTATTACTTTCTTACAGAACTGAACATGTTCTTATTCGTGTCAATGTCTAATCCTGCTAACGCCAAATTATACGTTAAAGAAATCTGCATGTTGCAGATTGCAAATGTTTACTCCAGCAGTGTTTTGCTCTGTAGAAAAAGTTGGATTAAATGCCCAGCTTTGTTGGGACATTTTACCTATTGTGCTTTAATTTTAGTTATGATGAAAGTATTTATTTCTAATAAGCAAGTCTTCCAAGGGAAATATGTTTTAAAGAGCACTTCTTATTTATTGCTGTAGAGAGGATTTTCAACTTACTGAGTCTTTAACTGAATGCCAGCCTGAATAGTGCTATAAAAATAATAAAGTAATTTTATTAAAAACTGACTTCTTATGGGACCTCCTGTGACTAAAAATATTTGTTTAATATAATAAGCTAACAAAAGTTAATATTTACAAATTTCTTTCAGCTTAATTGTATCAGAACAAGATCACTAAGTATCTAGTATGTAGTTTTTTTCAGATTCATCCAGCTTTTCCAAAGGGTAGGGGGTCACGTGTCAATTCTGGAGTACTTGTCTAGATTTGCATGGGCCATATTGTAAATTGCACAGCTGAGTGCTTGGTATTTTCAGGCAGTATAGGATGTATTCTGAACTTTCCAGGAATTGACTCATCCGGATCACCAGTAAAAAAAGGTCTAGTTTATGTGGATGTGAACTTCTGTGATACTGTATATAGGAGCAGGAAGTTAATATTAAAATTCGGCAGTTAGAGCAACATTCAAAACAAGCCTCTATTGGAAATCAAGTAAATAAGTGATGTTAATGTAAAAACCCACGGCACTTGTTAGCAAAAACCTGCTGTTTTGTTGTTATTAGGGTAGCAGAGTCTAGAATAAGTCTATGTTGTTTTTTTCTTAGCTGTCCAGCTGTTGCATAAGGTGGTGGATGGGGTTTTTTTTAATAGTTTCTATATATAAGTAGTACGCACTCCCCTCAGCTGCATGCAGAAATAGAACATACTCCAAAGAAAATAGTTGCCTAACTTATATGAAATCTCTTTATTATGTTTATAACAAAGCAAAAGTTGAAGAGCAGTAATATTGCTTAACTCATCTTTCTTTCTGCAAGCAGCTGAGAAGAACACTTGCTCAAAAATAGTTTATAAAAGGATTTTCATTTTTTTCATTTCTCTGTAAACTTGCTGTTGTTTAAGCACTGATCCAAATTACATGACATAATGAACTTTAAAAATTAATCAAGAAATATTTCTAGAAAAAAGAAAAAAACGCCTTCTAATAAAGTGCTGCCTGCTGCTTTCTGAGACACTTCTGGAACTCTTAAATTTTCATCAGCGTAGTAGTTACTGAAATGCATTTCATGAAACTTTCTGTTCTGTTAGATGGGCTCCTTAAACTTTGGAGAGGATGTTATGTACCTCGCTATTTATTACTTGAAGAAATCATTGTTTTTTAATGAGGAAGTTTTTGCGTGCAGTGCTTGGGTCACCGATGTCATTTGGCTTGTATGAATACTGAACAGAAGAAAGCCTGGTCAAACCGACCAGCAAAGAGAGTCTGTCAAACTGTGTGTTTATTTTTGGTGGTGGTTTGCTTTATCATGGAGTTAACTTTTGTTTTCTTTGTGAAGTGAAGAACATGTAAAGAGGTCTTATAATATAATGCATGTGTACCATGTGTTAAATTTAAACCCAGCGAAAATGAACTATGAAATGCAGCTCTACACGAAATCTGCGTGATCGTCTGTCATCGGATAGTAGGTTAGGTGGGATTGACTGATAATGGAAGATTATTAAATAAATAAAAGATACCTGGAGGCCTGGGGCATGTCCCTGAGGAGAGGCTGAGGGAGCTGGGCCTCACCTTGGAGGAGAGAACATTTTGGGGTGAACCCAGTAGCACCTACAGGGAGATAATCAAGAAGATGTAGCCAAGCACTTCACTTTCGGTTGGTGGGAGGAGAAGAGACAGCAGGCGTAAGTTGGTTGAAACAGGAAAGATTCAGGCTAGATACAGGGAAAAACTTTTTCCCCATGAGGACAGTTGGGTAGTGGAGCAGGCTGTCTGGACAGTTTGTGCAGTCTCCAATTTTAACAGTTTTCAAGACTGTCTGAGTGAAGCCCTGAGCAACCTGGTCTGATTCCATAGCTGACACCACTTTGAGCTGGAGGTTGGACTCCAGACTTCCTGAGGCCCCTTACAAGTTCACACCCCACTCCCTGTCACGGACAACACAAACAGGTATTTAAGATACTGCAACAGCAGTAAAGCTGCGTGTATCCACGCATATATGCGTATTTGTGAGATTGGTTCTTCAGGTGCCAGCTTCCGGGAGTGTGACATATAGTTTGTGTAAAATAGATGTATTTCTGCTATTTTCGGCTCTCTACTGGTTGTCCCATACAATACCCTTACTAGTGCCAGTTATTGCTCTGAAAAAGTGATTATTCTGCCTATGGATTTTTATAATTGATTATAAAAATATAAACTATAAGTTAGGTAATGAAGAAAGTATAGTTACATGACCTTTGCAGTAGTTTTCGATTGGAAACAGCTCACTGGAGTAGGTTAGTTATCAAAAAAGCAGTACTTCGGCTTAGTGTATTTGATTGTCTGGATGGATTTTTTTTTTTTTTTCCTCAGTATGGAGGAGATAACTGTTAAAGTTTTTTCTCTTTAAGATTTTGGGAAATCCTGTTTTGTATGGTCCTTGCTTTTGAATTTCAGTTGACCAGATTACCTAACAGCCTAATATTTGAGAGCAGGACTGTGCAATTTCTGCTTTTTGTTGGTATAATGAAGGCTAAAAGGTGGGGAGGTAGAAATAAGTCCTTGCAGAGTTTGCAGATACAGGAAGGCTATTTACAGAGAGGTCAGAATGGAAATGCATTTGGTATTATATCCTCTGAGAGATGGAAGGAAACACTTTTTATTGTGAATTCAGGAAGTGTGTGTCTGTTTCTGGATTTTCTGTAGGTGTAGACTTAGGCATATTGCCTAGCATTTTTGCATCCATTTTTCCATCTCTTAAAATGGTTGCATTTTCACTTCACAGGGCAATTCAGTGCTTGTTGATCACTTTTGAGGGGTTAAATGAAGACACTGATGAAAAATGCAAAGTATTGTTCCTGTGTCCATTAACGTGTGGAGTGAATGGGAAAACATGGCTGTTGGAAGATTTTTTTTTTTTTTTTAACTGTGAAGAAATGAAAACTATGAAGTTCACCCATTGACTTTTCCTACTGGAGTGTCTGAGCATGACTGACCAGTGCTACCTCATTTAAGTTACATAAGCTGTGTGAATTTCGCAGCTTTAGAAATGAAGTTATGTAATTCTCATGGGTTGGAATCACTGGAACTTGAGAAGGGAGAATAAGCAGTATGTAAATTAAGCAGATATCATCAGCTATCAATAGTTTTCCTAAAAAGAACTCGAAATTTGGATGAGACTTTATTGGGATTATTAAATATAATTTTCACCACGCTTGCAGACTATTGGCATTAAAAAGAAAAAAGAAATTAGGCTATTGGTCCTTCTCACTAAAAGAACACTAGATTATTGAACAGGAATGCTATAGGGTTTTTTTTTCTATTTTTATAAAAGGTAAAGACCTTTTTCCTCAGTCTTCAAAAATGTGTGGTTTTTTGTTGGTTTTTTTTTTGTTAAATTGTCCCTATACAGTTTGTGCTAGAGGAATCTTGGCAAATCTCTTGGTGTGGCGTACTGGGGGTGGGGAATTAGGCTGACTGGTAGGTAGCTTATCCTTAGATATCATCATATTTCAGTACTGTAAAGCATTGTTTAGATTCTGCTTTGTAACGCTTCTTCGTAATGCCTACTTGTAGCTTTGCAATTGAAGAAACTTCTTAATATACTTCGTCTTCTCTATGAGACATAACTGTTTT